TTATATTTTATCATAACAAGCCTACACACAGTAAATGCTATTTTCAGCCAAGAATACTTTTTTCAGTAACCATGTTTCAACAGTGTGAACCACTGAATTTATCGAGTATAACATTTTATGAAATGGATTGAGAAATTCTCAAATGCAAGTTAATTAACCATACAAATATCACGCGACAATTTGTTATGCGCAGTAGTGTCAATGACGTGATCCATGTGATATACCCATGTAATATCCATTTTTATTCAATGTCATGTGACAGTTTCAAACAATCATAGCAGGCGTAACAGCAGTGAGATGTGATAATGCAGGATATTGTTCTCACAATTTTTTTTTTCAACCAGAGCTATCAACCAGCAGTTTGCGACTGCTTCCTGTGGAATTGATATTTAGGCTAAAATTCAATGAATTTGGGAAGTACAAAATATACCGTTATAGATCAAGAAAAATAACATAACAAAATTAATTATATACCCTATATATAAAATGTGTTTTTGAAATGCAGTCCCTCACCCCCCTTGGCTATTTTCGCAGATTTTTCGTCGCCAGAGCGATTCACGTCCCAAATTTTGGTTCTCTGGGCGTCTAAATATTCTATCTAACCGCTGGACTGAATTAGCTAAATTATGAAAAATTCATAGAAGATTGGGCGAAAATCAGTCGTTTTTGGCCTCAACGTTTTTTTGCTCGGAAACGCAAGGGCGATAAGACTCGATTTTCAAGAACGCAGGTCGCTCGGATTGGACAGTTTCTATTGTTTCGAGTCTGTTGTGTGTCTAGAAACATAATAACTTTGTTTTTTGGTTAATATAGAACATGCCATGTTCCAATAAAGGATTTTGATATGCAAATCAAACAATTTTATTAGTTCCTTATTGTAACGTCTCCCATATAAATAGTCCTGTACTCCCCAGAATTTGACAATGGTACTAGCCCAGAATTGACTTTCTGTTCAGCGCGTCTTTGATTGTAGCAATGTTTACGCCACTATACAAAAATACGCACACTCGCGAATTTGACAACATTCACTTGAGCGTTTTAGGATAGTGGGAATAGAAGCAAATAGATGGAAACGCCAGTTACATCACTCATGAAGATTGATGATTTGTTTGCTGGCCGGGATAGATGTATTTTGTGTTCATTTCTATGCATATTGTCTACACCTGCGATTCTCAATTACGATGTGTAATATCATATCGCTGCTGTGGACGGTGACGGCTGACAGATTGTTTTGGTTCTGTGGCTCTCTTGGCATGGGCGAGGTCACAGGTTAAAAAGTGAAAATGAAAATGGATTTTAAAAATGAAATTTGAAAACGAAAATGGATTTTAAAAACGAAAATGAATTATGAAAATGGAATATGAAAACGAAAATGAATTTTGAAAATGTAAACGGATTTCAAAGATGAAAATGGATTTAAACAATTGGTTTTAAAAATAAAAACAGAATCCAGAAACGAAAGTGGGTTTTAAAAATCGATTCCAGGGCCGAAAATGGTGTTTAAAAAAAGATTAACAAATAAAAATGAGTTTTCAAAATGTAAATGAATTGTAAAAATGGTTTTATAAAATGCCATGTTGTGAGCCACCTCGGTTGCCGTACTGTTGCCATGGTAGGACATGAACGTCCAGCTAACGTTGGTTTATAATTAAAACCGGGCCCCGTATACAAGGTTCGCAAAAAAACGTTCAGTCCTTAGAAGTCACTTTATTTTATTGCTAGGACGTATTCTGCTGTTAAATTTATTATTTCCAACCGTTTTGCGATAGTATTTTCTAGATTGGAGCATGGAGGCAAAAAGCTCCATGATTGAAGGCAGCATTTACAGTTCATTCATAGTTCAAAGTTGCATTGGGATTACGTTGATAGTGTAACAATCCCGGGGTAACAATGTTGGCACCGGTGATCTTACCAGTGCGCAACGTAGCCAAAAAACAAAAAAACATGATCATATAAACACTGCTATTTATAATAATATAAAGACTGGTAGGAGGTAATAAATTTGGGGCGAAAGTATTCAAAAATCAGTTTTTGGCTGTTGCTATGGCAGCGGTGAGCGAGAATTTGTTTTCAGATTTTACAACCTAACTAGAGTGAAGGTGTGACTTGCCCGCCAAGTTTGAATCAAACGGCCCAGCCAAAAAAATCACAGAAGAGTCAAATTTGTCGGTAATGAAAACAGATATCAAAAATTCAAATAGTGACTTAGTGCCCACACTCAAGCTGAGTAGAATAAGCTGTCTGAAGAGTTATTCTAAATTTGTAGGAGATTCATTTGGCACGAAGCTATCCAGTTTTTTGGCTGTTACTATGGTAACGATAGGCCAATTTTTTTTTTCAGAATTTAACTAATAACTAGGGTGATGGAGTGACCTGCCTGCCAAGTTTGAGGGAAATGGGCCAAGCCAAAACAATCACAGAAGAATTAATACGTGAAAACACCGGAAACCACACACACAGAAACACAAAATTGATTTTAAGGGCAATCCTAGCAGAACAGATCGCCAATAGTGAACACAAATGTTCGTAAATATTACTGACCGCAAAAGACGCTCATCGCGAAGTGTCTTGTATTAGTACAATAAAAATAATATTACAATCTACTTATTAGTGTAAAAATGTTGTTCTAAAGTCCATGGCATCAACTAAAAATTCTTTCATAAGTTTGTCTATGGTGTAACATATTTATTATAACCCAGAAGGAAGCATAATAACTCTGTTATTCAGTTGCTTGAAGTTATTAAATTTGTTTCTTTCTTCTTCAATAACATTTCTTTTATTTCACACATTAAGTTGTCCCTTTATATTTTAAAACTTGGACATTGCAAATTAAAATGTTGGAGAGTTTCTTGGTCTTTTTCACAACATGGACAAATTGTCATCTTCACTATTATTTTCCTATTTTCTTTTTTTCATATGCTAACCCAGGAGTACATGATCTTGCTCTGAATTTTAGCTGTGCTCCTTTAAAGTTGTTTATTGACTAAAGATATTTCTCACTTTTCAAGCTAGTTTAGAATTTTTTATAATTAAGGCTTGATTTTAACTTCATATCTTCTCTCCACTTAGATTCATCGTGGTTCAGAACCAATGTTTTTAGTTTTTAGCTCCACTGTCGACTTTGTCGAGCGGAGCTTATATGTGTGATTGTCCGGCGTCGTCCGCAAGTCCAATTGCTTTGATATTACATATATAGGTACTACATGTGGTGGACCTCAGATTTGTTCATTTCATGATCATATCTTCAATTCTTTAATTTTGGTGAATATTTTTGTCATTTTTGGTAAAAAGTGATATTTTTGACTTCTTGTTGAAAACAAGTCCCATAGCATTGATACTATGCATATTGTTCATTTTCTAATGATATCTTCTGTTCTTTAATTGAAATATGCATTGCTAACAGCGGAGCTATCTCAGCAGAGAAATTGCTTGTTTTTTTATGCGGTATCTTGGACGTGCTCTGTCAGTTTTCATTCAAATTTGGCACATACATGTACTTTATACATGTTAGGATGCATATCCATGACAATTTGTTTCAAAATCTGGTCAAGGATGGCTGATTGACAGCCATCTGACTTTTTGGCCTTACTGCTATATTTCCACAATTTATGTACCTTTTTCATTCATATTTGGCACATACATCATACATATCAGTGTTTCATAATCAGATCAAAGATGGACGAATAACGACTGTTTTTATTTTTGGCCATATTACTACTACAAGGAACACACGTTTTGGTGTAAATAAACAATCTGTTGTATACGCCACTTGGAACTCAAGTTTCAAGGACACTCTCGTGACAATCCCTCCTCTTTAATATGAGCACAAAGAGAACTTTTAAAAATTTAACGAGAACTGTCATTTTCAATGACTTGTTTTAAATATATTTATATAAATTGCAAATGGCATTGGAGCCAGGACACAACCTTGCCTTTGGTCAAAGTATTCAGTTTCAACATCTCCAAATGAAATTTTACTCTCAATGTGGTCATAAGTGTTTTATTGCACGCCATAGTTTTCCCTTTATCCCATTTTGCCATAAGGCATACCACAATCCTTCTTGCCAAATACTGTCATAAGCTTTTTTGAAGTCCAGGAATGCAAAATAAGTGCGTCTGTTTTTTCTAAAACCCCTTTGGATTTCTCCCAGCATATTACTTGGTTCAATCAATTGGCTCAATTCATTTTCTATTGTACAGTTTTCCAATAACTGAGCTAATTGTTCAAATTGTTGGCGTCTCCCTTCTTATTTATTGGTATAATAATGTTCGATCCCCCAATTTTTTGGAACTGCTTCTATCTCAAAGCAAAAGTTGAAAATCGCTATCAGATGATGGATAGGTATTTATAATAGCATGCTTATATATGTAGTAACGTTTTAAAGAATGCCGTACTCACAGGTCAATTTTAACTCATTTTTTTCTATTGCTACCTTAAAATTCTGTTATATACCATCTGATTAGTAATTTTACAAATGCAGCTGAGTAATTATACTATGGGCATGGTTATGATGCTTGCGCTATGTTCTAATTATTTCAGTGTAGTAAAGCGAGGTACATCAAAGGTTTTAGATAATAACTTTGCATTTACAGTGCCACTGGCTGGATATTTTACACACCTGATCTTAATACTGTACTTAAATGATATAATTATTTCTAATTACACCCAATAATGTCATTGGAGACAGAACAAGTTCAAAAAATACACTCTACCATAATTGTTTGAAATTGGCCTCATTTTGTCTGCAGACAGTGTTCATCTTTATGTTAATATATTCAGCCTTTTCCTGCTTCATTCATATGTGAGGTGTTCACTTCCTTGAACTCAATCTAAGGTTTATAATGCATTACACATGCCTGATCCAACCAGAGACGTGCCTGAAACATGTGATCTGATTAAATATGTAGTTGCCATACTTCCCAATTCATTGATCTAGTTCATTTAATATTAAAATGTGACTAGGTCGTTTCAGGCTCATATCTCATGCCAATCACATACACTTTAGCGAGTATAGGTGTTCTTTGCCTGCTGTTCAGTGTGGCTGTCTGGGTGTAGTCTCTGCTTCTCCGTTTTTTTACCATCCCCGAATTGTAGCTAGATTCCTAGTTTTCATTTACTATTATAGACTGATATCCTGTAGAATCAGCTCAAAATGAGGAGGTATTTACTTTATTTCTCATCTTTTTATTTCAACACCCTTTTTTTTAAACGAAACTATCAAAATGGTTGAATCTTGTCACACCCATTATTTTTAGAGAAATGTGGGACAAGTTTAAAAAGCATATTTCTTGTATTGTAGAATTTTCTCAACAGCTTTTCAACTTTAATTCTTAATCAACAATATTGTTTTTTCTTATTTTACAGTTTCATCTGTCCGTTGTCATTCCGTGCCTTAGACACTTTTTCCAGGCCTTTTGCTTGCTGTTTCTACTCGGAAATCAGTATGCCTTCATCCAGTAAGTATTTAATTTAATACAACTAACTCTTATGGGTGGTATCATAATTTCAAACAAATTTAGTTAATTTTGTAAGATAGGTATTTTCAAAAAGAAAACTATACATTTTAGACAGATGAATTTAGGTCAATGCAGGTGATAAATTATTAGCTTGTATATATTTAGCATCCAATAATATAATATGTAAATATAATTGTTAGTGTACATTTTCTTTTCAATAATTGTGTTTAGGGTGTGGCGTTTCAAAGTACCCAGAAATGCATTTTGGTAATAACAAAAAATCGATATCTATGGTGGTTAGGTTATTAAAGCAAATACAATTGAAATTAGTTTTGAGAATTTCATTTGATCACAATCACATGCAGTCACTTATTTAGATAAATCCTTCAAATGTGCTGTTTTGTAATTAACTATGCAGCCATGTTGAATACTAGTCATGTGATGTCTGTCTACTTAAAATGAATCACTGTTAGATGGCATTCAGTGAAAGTTCAAATTTAAGGATAATTATATCTAAGAAAATATCAGTTGTACATCCTTGTTCTTTCTGCAGACAATTATACATGTACTGTTTACAGGGTGCATTGTATCAATATGGCGAAAATTAAATTGTGTGCTTCATTCATTTGTCATTTTATACCTATACTGCCTGAGTGAGATATTCAAAACCCATCAATGATTATATATAGTTCTAATATTTTACTGTTATTTCATATTTAATAAATTCAGTTTTGTTGTATATATCACATGTATTTATAACACAAACTAGAACAGACAGTGAATTGTCTGGGAAAGGCATGAATTATAAATGTTGCTTGCATTGACAATGTACATGTACATTGCACTTTATTACTCGGTGATTTATAGCTGACTCATCTCCTCTAAATTGCTTGTCCTTAATTAGTTGAAAAAAAGAAAGTGCACACTTGTTAAAAATATTTAATTTAGCTGAAAATGAATGATAAATTATAAAACTGCCAAATTTAATTTTTAAGGTCTTCAATCAATGGAAATTCAAGATTATATGCTAAAAATTTAAATTTTATCATTCCCACTCAGTCAGATAATGCATAGTAATGAGTCATCAAATTAGGCACAGGAAAAAAATATTCAAGCTTCTGGTTAACACACGTACGTGTCTGTTAAAAATGTGCGTAGCTTTTTAATCCTAGTCAGATGCATTTGTGACTTGACAGATTTTGTTCAAAAATAAGACCATCAATGGTCTTGGGCTTGCCTGAGCAGATTTCTCGACTTGGTTTTGACATTACTCATAGTGGGATGTACTCGAAAAAAGCAGTTTTGCCAAATATAAATAATCAGAAATTATTACCAAAATAACAGCGTATGGACTGTTAGATTTTAAATACATTAAGATCCATTTCGGTGATTTGGCAATTGAGTTTAAGAGTAATTAATGAGTAATTTTCTGATTAGTTTCTTGCATGAAACTCTGATTCGTTGTTTAAACAAGAATAGTATCCCATAATTCCATGGTGCAATCATGGGGGGGGGACTGATCAGGATCCATGCTTAAAGATGCACGTATCAACAGTGAAATTTATGTTTTAAATGTTTAAAATGTACTTTGTTGCTATGGTAATCATAATCTAATTATTTGTGATATCAAAAGTGATATATTCTTGTTCAAACATAGGACTCTGACATTCATCTTGTTTTTAAGAGTTTTGACAATATTTTATTTAGCAAAATTTTGAAATTTCAAAAGGAAAAAAAAAAAGGAGAATGTACCCAAATTTATTTTTGATAGTTCACTGGCAACTTTTTTTCTTTTTATTCTGTGCCTGAAGCTCTTGTTAAAGAATGTGGTAAGTATATTAGACTAGATTATGAGGGTTTGATATGCCATATTAAACCTGCTCCTTGCATGGCTGCATGTTTTGTCAGTTACTTTCATATGTTGTGTTAATTTCACCATCCACCTCTAAACTGAGTGTCATTATAGATTCTGATGGTAAAATTGGGTGGAATGTTAATTCATTCCTTCCAGCAAGGTCAGTACAAAATGACAATACTCGTACACCTGAGGTAATTGCACAACATGATTATTGAGAAATGACTCAGCCATGTTAGAAAAGATCGCATGTAGCCTTATAAGCATGTCCATTTCTGTAATGTTCTTGCATTGTAGTCAGCCAGCATGTGTATTGTTAATACTTGATGGTGGGTGCAGGTTTTGCAACAGGTTTTCAACATTTCTTGACAAAATTGAAAGCAAAAATATTTTTTCACTACTGATGTATTAAATAGCTTCTCTTCAAATAAAAAACATTAATAAACAATAGATAAACTATTAGCAGTAAACAAGGAAATGGCTTCGCCGATTCTAATTTGCATAATGATATCACTTTGCCATTAAGGCAATTAGATTGCAGCTTGCTATTTCAGTGATATCTCTATACTGCTGTGTACGTGTACGATACACATGCCGGCTGACTTTGTATTCTTGTCAGCCAGAAATTGCCCATGCTTGCTCATAACATTAACCTACAAGAACTGATACATGTACTTGTACAATATACATTGTAGTGGAACGTGGCACATAATTTAGGTCATTCAAATCACAAGCTCAATTTATGAATATAGTTTTGTGCATTTTAATTTTTAATCTGTTATGCTAATACTGAACATGTATAATAATGTATGGGGAAATTAATATACTGTGTTAAATTATTCCCTGGATGAGTCCTGAAACGCTTGTTTTTACCAGATTGTATTGTCTGGTCTGCATGTGAATTTCTCACTCAATAAAATATAATTGACCACTTTTTTGTTTGACTTATTGGCACCATCTACAGAATGTTGCGTGGTCACCTTCCTAAAATTTTGGCAGGGACACAAAATTTGTTTTTTTAGCTCAGTTGTCATCATAGATGATCGAACATGCAGGTTATTGTCCTTTGTCGTTCGTCCTTCAGCAAATGCTATTTTCTTGAAAACTACTAGCTTAATTGCTTTGATACTGTCTGATTTATTCATTTCAGTAGATATTTGACTTTGCAGTTAATGTGTTCTGCCTATTCCACTATATCTCGAGAAACATGTTGGTTTTTGACTAAAACTTGATGCATAGATGCTCTGGGCTAAAGCAGATTTGATTACGTTTTGGGTTAAGTGCATGCATGAAACTTTTCGGCTTTCCCATAGGTATCTCAAATAGTTGCGTTTTTCCAATGAATCTTGGTACTTAAATGCACTAAGACAATGCAGCTTATTAGTTTTGGGTTTATGTACATCCATAATAATTACCTTAATTAAGAATTAATCATCACATTTGTAATGAAACTTAGTACACATGTGCCCTGGTTACAATACACACAGATCTATGCATAATTTGCATTAAAATTACCCATATATTTTTTTTTCAAAAACCAATTATTGCATTTCAATAAGAAAACATGCATATTGATTATCTAATTAATAGCCAATTTCTGATATCAGATTACAATTAAAATGTAACTTGTCGTAAAGGTGTTCTGGCAAAAATTGGCCCGAAAACCACAAATAATGTATAAAATCAAATGCATTTTCTGTATGTAATTTAAACTTAAATAATGTGGATCGCATTGTTTCCAGATTGTACATTTCAAATAGCAGACAGCAATTAGTTGCCAAGTTTCTTGTTTGGAAAGCTAATTAATTTTTAATGCATCTCAAATACTCACACACTATACTTTTCTGAGCTTTCTTTGATTAGTGAATATTTTTGGTAAAATGCTATTTTAGACTTCTTGAAAACTTCCAACTTGCTTTGATGCACATTGCAGCTGTCTGATTTGTTCATTTTGTGATATTTTATATTTTTAGCTCCGCTGTCGACTTTGTCGAGCGGAGCTTATCATATGAGTGATTGTCCGTCGTCGTCGTCCGTGTCAATGTTTTACTTTTTTGACTTCTTCTTGAAAACTACAAGCCTGAATGCTTTGATACTTGGTGTATATGTACCTTGGGTAGACCTCTCTTAGGTTTGTTCATTTCATGTTGATATCTTCAATTCTCTAATTTTGGTGAATATTTTTGTCATTTTTGGTAAAAAGTGATATTTTCGACTTTTTGTTAAAAACCGCAAGTGCAATTGCTTTGATATTACATATATAGGTACTACATGTGGACCTCTCTCAGATTTGTTCATTTTGTAATGATATCTTTAATTCTCTAATTTTGGTGAATATTTTTATCATTTTTGGTAAAAAGTGATATTTTCAACTTCTTGTTAAAAACTGCAAGTCCGATTGCTTTGATACTACATATATAGGTACTACATGTGAACCTCTCTCAGATTTGTTCATTTTGTGATGATATCTTCAATTCTCTAATTTTGGTGAATATTTTTGTCATTTTTGGTAAAAAGTGATATTTTAGACTTCTTGTAAAAAACCAATAGTCTGATTGCTTTGATACTATACATATTGTTCATTTTCTAATGATGTCTTCAGTTCTTTAATTGAAATGTGCATTGCTAACAGCGGAGCTATTTCAGCCGATAGGCTGCTTGTTAGCAAATATTGTCATTTTTTTTTTATCAAATGTGTTCATGTGTTGATGTATGTGTACTATGTCACCAGCCTACAATGTGTGATGGCATAATATCTAAAGTAAAAGCACTATAATACTGCCAAAATGGCCACTATCTAATCATTTTCACGAAAATTAGGCTAATGACTCCCAACATTTTTTAAGTCAATATACTTAATATATTGCTCGGAAGTACAATTTATTAAAAAATAATTTAATAATTCCTGGGTATTTGAATTCAAGAGTAGGCTTTTACTTTTAACTTGTTGCAGACAGTGATTATAGCTCAAGACAGCTAGACTGATTCAGTTAATTTTTGAATAACCGGCCTCTACTCTTGTCTTCCATTCTTCAGCTGAAGTTAAGACGACTGGAGGTGTTGCGTATGATGTTATTCTGTCAGAACCAAAGACTGAAACTGTTTTGAAGCGACCTGTTTCGCCCCCAAAGAAGTCAGAAAAGAGTTTGACAGATATAGCCAGCAAACTAGCGGCAGCTGAAGAAAGAAGAAAGGTGAGATGTAAAAGTTTTTACTGCGTGAATGTGCATTCTAATAACTACATAACTAATAAAAGTTTTTAACTTTTTATATTTGTGCGTCTTAACTTGTTATAGTTAAATTTTGGACTTGCCTTACCAATTTGTTGAATCTAATAAAGTATACATCTGCACATTGATTTGTAATTTTGTCACCTATGCTCGAGCTGTTTCTAAGAATATGGGTCAAAATCATTCAATGGCTCATTGGGGCTAGTGCCGTCATTCCTGAGTTGGTAAGCTCATTTATGTGCACCTGAATTTAAAGGTTCTTCTCACCACTGTATTATGTGAAGCATGTTTCAACTAATACTTTAATTGGTTGAACCTTAGCTAAGTATAATGTATTTGCTTTCAGTCAATGGAGTCGCAATTACTGCAGAGATTGGCAGAGGAGAGAGCACTTGCACAGGAAAAAGCATCCAGAGTTATGAAAGACAACAACAACTTCCAGGAAGTAACTAAGAAACAGCTAGATGAGAAGATGCAAGTTTTTGAAGAAAATCGAAATGCTCGTTTTCAGGCTCTGCAGAAACGTTTGAAGGAAAAGGTTTGTATACGTCATTATTTTTGGTACTGTCAAACTTGTTTTTCAACCTGGGACTTCATCAAGATGGGTTTTATAGACAGGTGCTGGGATTCTTCATTTATCGGACATGGCTCTTCTGAGATGTTATTGTCAGACTAGAAATGAAATGTTGAGAACGAAAGCAGATGTATTATGAGGATTTGTATCCAGAAGTTTGGTCTGAGTTTGAGGTCTTATAATTACCTGATATAAAACCCATCTTTCCAAACAATGTAGAATATTTTAGGAGATAATCAACCCATAAATTTAACCATAGACCCTGAAAAGAGGGATAAGAAACGCTGACGAAAGACGGTAAGAATTTGCACGCAGTGTTTTGCATATGTTATTAGCAAGAGCATCAGACAGACTTCCGGATGACGTCGCAGTACTGGCACTGAGCAGATATTTCATTAATACTGTCGTGTTTTTGTTACTGTGTCCATGATCTGAACTATATTTTGTGAAATCTTAAACGTGTTTTCAAAAACTTCGGGTAGTATTTAACTTTATTTTTGATGTGCACTTACTCTTGGTGATATATTTCATTACATAACAACTCGGCATGGCTCACTACCAATTGCCTATGGCTTTTACTTGTCCCCCTTGTTTTTCAATCGCAAATTTCTGCTACACATTTTTCCAGAAAATGATGAGATGGTACTTTTGCAACAACAAAAAACTAAGTTGATCTAATAATTCCAAATCAGGCAAGTTTGACTGAAAAATTTTGCTTGAACGGAATCCACATCACCACTTTGATCTAAGTGAATCTGCAAAAATACTCCTGAAAAGGTTCTTTTATACACAAGTTGCTCATAACATGATTTGATCTCTATAGTAGTCTTTTATATAAGAGATCAATATATACACAGGTTTGACTGTATATATTGCATATTCAAAACGGCACATTCAAAACAGCACTTGTTATTGTAATCATATTGCATGGGGTCACAATGATTTGTGTTGTATATGGCATTCAACGTCTTCAACTAGTCTACTTTTGACACCTGCTTTCCACATTTTTCATTCAGGAGATACATGGCCGAGAAGTACGCAACCACAAAAGGTCCATCAGCCAAGAAAATGCAGAAAATGGCAATTGAGCATTAACAATATAGTAATCAAAAGTATCTACATGGGCTGGCAGCTGTAAATAGAAGTTCATCTCATCAGAGTACACACCGATCCACAAGGGCATTTATGTTATGTTATGTAATTTTAAAACAATCTGTATTTATCCATCCATATAAGCTGTAGCTTACTTAGGAGTTAACTATCTAGTTGTCTCAGTGTAGAAATTATTAATGATTAGTGTTATGATTCATAAAAATAGTCCTATATAAATGAAATAATTGTTAATTCATATAGTTGGAAATGTCACTCCCAGAGTATGTAATTTCATTACTAACTTTACATAGTTGGTCAAACAAACCATGAAATGTGATGTAATTTGCAGCTGAGAATGAGCTTTCCACACCTGATTCTTGTATCTGTAATATAGTGTTGCATTTAAAGTTGTAATTCTTCAGGAACTTTATTCACTGTAGTAAATTTGGTCACTCTTTCGTAAAAATACAATAAGCGAGTTGATGAAATGGTCAGCCCATGATAGGCTACTTATTAAAAGGTGTACTCTGCCTGTATTTAGTGTTTGATAATTGTTATGCAATACTCATTTATTCTTGTTACATTTTGAAGCTTTACATTTATGAGTTGATATCATTTTATAGAGTATAGTTGCTAGTATACAATTTTGTCTTGTTTATTTACGTTATTCGATCGTGTAGCTTGATGATGTAGTGTAGATAGTGGAGTACCAACAAAATCCACTGCCTTCCAACAGTATTCACTGCCACTAGTGTTTGCTGCTGCTGCTGCTGCTGAACAAATTTGAATGAAGCAGGATAGATATCAAAGACACTGGCTTTTTCAAGAAGTGATCAAATATATGTTACTGGAAGTGTTTTATACAAATTACTTTGTACTTGAATGGTGTCTTGTGCAATCTATGAAAAAGCCTTTGTATGATTTGAATTTTTCAAATTGGCTGGAATTATTTTTATCTCTGCATTACTTTGGCATTCCATTTTTGTCGGCAAAATTGCTGGCCATGTTCACTCTCACTATAAATCAGTGTTTCATGAATAAATGATGCTTTGTGCAAACTATGGTATTAGTTATTGGTATGGTATTGTATGTAGTGAAAAAAATACTGTGATGCATGCCTCCCCAACCATTATACCAACATTTCAGGCCACTTGAAAGCAATTACCAAATAGTGGTAAGCATAATTCTATGAAAAACGAAACAAAATGGTTTCATTAATATGTAATTTATAAAAACAATTAGAATCAAATGTACATAATTTTTTTCAATTCATCATCATTCTTTTTGAAAATAACATTCATCACAAAAGTTAATTTTATGGGAGATGACAAAAGTAGAGTTTTTCCCTCGATAATCTTCAAGATTTATCAAATAAATGATTTGGGTAGTTACAATTGTTTCCTTTGGCAGAAAGACTCCATCATGTCTCTATTTTGCTAAACGACGTCCAAAATATTTAGTGTTGAGGTTATATACGGCAGTCATGAGAAAATTGGATAATTAGAGCATTAGTATCCATGGAAAAATGAATGTTTTATTGTGATCAATTTTTCTGTTTTTGTTATGGTAGTGAGCTAGAATCTCCCCTTAAAGGACCCAACTACCAGGCCAGCTCTTTTTGACATGCCAGCTTCCATGGTGGCTGTCTTTGAAACGCAACCCACTAGGTCAGCTACCCTGAAAAGATCAGGCACCTGACTAGCTTTGCTCAAGTCACCAGGTTGACTCTGCAAGGTTAAACGGCTCCCAGGCATCTGTCCGTCAAGTTGAGGCAGCCATTTTGGTAGATAGACGCATTACTGTTTGCCAAATAGGATGAATTTGGAGATGTGAAAAAAAGATGAGTCAAAGTTTTTCTAAAGACTGAATGTACAGGATGAAACTTGGGTCCATCACTATGATCCAGAGACCAAAGCCCAGTCAATGCAATGGAAGCACTTGGACTCGCCACCTCTAAAGAAGGCAAGGGTGCAGCCCACCGCTGGCAAGGTCATGCTCACAGTCTTCTGGGACCAGGACGGAGTAGTGATGACAGATTTCCTGGCAAAGGGTACCACAATTACAGGAGCCTATTACGCTTCACTTTTGATGAAATTAAGAGAAGCTATCAAAATCAAGAAATGTTGAACCGGTCTTGTGATTGGTTGTTGACGAAATGCTGAACAGGCCACGCCTCCAACTGTACCATGCGTTCGGGCAAACCGTTAGGAATTTCTAAATGGAGTTAATTTGTGTAGTTTTCTTGATTTATTCTGCAGATATCGGTAAAATGTAGGTCATTAGAAATTAGAAGGAGCAACTAATATTCTTCAACCTGCTATTTTTTTTTTTAGATTTTATTTTTCATTTTGTTCGTCTGTTTTTTAGAGTTTAAAAAATGTGAGCTGGCTGGAGCCTTCATCCCTTGTCTATTTCTTGCACTAGATACCAGCCGATACCCCCCCCCCCCCCCCCGCGCACGCTCATAGAGACTGCGTACTACAGTTGATTATAGTTCCTGGGCTCCCTGTGGAGAGGGTACAGACAAAAATCTGCAGGTATCTACTTAGCGTTAATAGTTGTACAGACAATGTAGCGATGTTGGATGAATGTGGAAGGCTGCCATTATGCTGTGTTTATTTCAAGCGTTACCTCATATTGGTTAAAAATAGCTGGAATCCCAAAACATGTTATATAATGCATAAACGAATAGACGAGACTGGCAGATTTACTTGGGAACCCACATAAAAATCTCCTGTTCAAATATGCCCATGGCTTGAGGATACTGCAAATTTCTTAAAGATATTTACTCGAAAAATTGTCGGCAAGAATGGCATGCTTCAATTTGACAATTATCCAGTACTTACGGAAAAATCAAAGTAGTATAATTACAAAAATACCGTTAGATCAATACATTTGTAGGTTTTGCAGTACTGTAATACGTTTGAATTTTGGAATGTAGAAAATGAAATCCACTTTGTTTTTATATGTCCATTTTATAATGATCTAAGGGCTGATATTTTGTCAATAATACTATGCCATTTATCAACTAGCTCTGTATATTTTAATAAGCGACGACAACATGAATCCAGATTAATCTAGTGCCACACGTTTTATGGATGTTGTATTGTTTTAAAACGTCGTGTTATGTACTTTTCTACCCATTACATTTTGTACAATGGGCTGAGGCCCTGTACTGAAATACATAATAATAATACAATAATAATAAATTGACTACTACTACTACTACTACTAAAATGAATAATTGTACCTTTAAATGCTTAGACAATAATGCTAAGATACGTACAATCTTGTCTTTTTGGTGGACAACAATTTGCCGTAGTAGATCTAGGGTGTGCGTGTGTTTGTCTGTAGGTGGGGGATGGCTCAGGAACCTATTCTATATTCTATATGTGAAAAAACTGAACAACGTAACACAAAGTAAGCCAATTGAATTTTAAAACCGAGAATATAAAAATGTCTGTAACAGAGCTCTAAAATACTAAAGAATCCGCTCTTTTTTTTGAAAATTCACACGTATTGTTGTTTTTGAACGCCCCTATTCAAAAGTGATGGCTCCGGGCCTGGTGACGGTGTGGAGGTGAAACAAGTAGAAGATTCTTGGGAAAGATTGACTGGGCGATGAGTATTCTGACAAACAGACAATGGGACATGTTATTATGCAAGAAATATAGAAGGTGACACTCACAATGCTAAACCCATTGGCAACATCTCAACTAACTAACAATCAACTTGAAAGGAAATTATTTTTTCCATTTCTTGTTAATATTCATTCTCAGTTTTATGCTCGTATTGTGTTTCTTCCCAGTGTTAACTTCAATGTAGGTTACTCCTCGTCCCTCGTGGCCACACATTAAAGGTATACCCTATCTTATCCTCAGTGCACGGATAATATACCCAGTTGTTCTTGTTGTAAAAGTAGTAGTATCCGCGTGGGACATATTCCTCTCGATGCACGTGTATGCTTGAGTTGTGCTTTCTCTAATTTCCGACTCTGTAATTGGGCCCGAGCCTGTTGAAAGAAATGATTTTATCAATATCTTACAAAGAGTGGCTATTATGCATCTTCAACCCAATAAAATACTGGGAAAATAAATACTGTAATATCAATTGCATGAGCAAACTTACATACATTCTCTTGTTTATTGTTTTTTAATGAAATATTATTGAAGTGAATCAACGAATAACAAATAATTTATTCCGGCTTTTGTCATTTATACACTCCCGTAACATTTTTATCTTATTGGGAAAAAAAAACACATCTAGGACAAAATGTGCACGAGCATTATTATTTTATTTTATTTTATTTTGATCTTTTATTTATTTGTTAGTTTTTTTTTTTAAGTTTTCTTAGCTGCGATCACAAGTACGTAACAAAAAACATAAAAAAATTAAAAAATAGTAAAAGTAAAATAAACATAAAATAAAATACCCGCCGTACAAAACACCAGATTTTAATTCGATTGCTACTTGGGGTACCGAAAGTTTTTTTCTTCTTGAGATTGACAAACTTCTAAAGTATGATCGCAACACCTTGTAGAATTTTTCCAGTTCATGTACTAATTGGTTCTATGCTAGATTATTGCATTATTGAATAGATTGTGTGTACAAACGGAGAGTGCAAATAAAAAATGTATATCGCTACCAAGTTGATTAAAATCAGATATTTTGTGGGGATTTTATACATGTATATTTATAATATAATACATAAACTTCACACAAAAGATCTGATTTTAATCAAATTGGTACCGCGCCATGGTTGAAATCTAGACTGATATACATATCAGTTAAAATGCCGCGGATAAGTTAAAATTATTAAAATAAAACAGTCATTGTTACTGCGACTATTGAGATCGTTGTTGTGGTCGCATTTCCCTGGTGTAATCGTTCATTTACGTACACAAATAAAGACAGACGATTCGCTACTAAAATTGCTTGAGGGCGCTCGTGGGTTGATATGCAAATCAGGCATCTGTTTACAGTTAGGTACAGCATCACAACATGGCAACTAAACCGAAGGGGAAGGATAAAAAGGGATCCAAGAAAGAGAAAGTTGTTGAAGAACCACCACCGGATGTGGAAGAAATTAAGGAAGAGGTTGAGGAGAAACCTGAAGACAAACCGCCGGAAGAACCGACTCCTCAAGATGAATCCACAGGAGAGTCTGCACCATGTACACCTCCGGTTAACGACGAACCCTCGCTGACTGAGCTCATCGTTGAATGGTAAGTTAAATGAGTTTTTTTTTTCTGCCACGGATATTGTTTACATTATTTGTCAACTTTTTTTCAACGTGATATACCGCTTCCATTTCTTTTAGTTACGAGGGAGAGAAGGTCAGAGGTCTATACGATGGAGAAGGTGTTGCATATTTCAACGGAAGCCATGACTACAAGGTTAGTGTTGTCTCGAGACATAATAAGGGATGGATTATTGAAACCCGGGGTGGGTACTGAATTCCCCGGGCATGGACGAAGTGGAAAAATGCACAATTCAAGCCTCATGTTGTTATAGCAAGATCAATGGCTGTGTTGAGCGGGCAGTCGACAACCGAATATAAATAACGCGTAGTCTGACAACGCCGTGGGTTCCCACTGTTTTTCTGCGTAATTTGTTGTTACAATCTTGAGTTCAAATCGAATTTGATATTATTCAGAAATATCGGAGTTTATAAGTTAGAATGACAACATTACTACATGCCTGTCTATGTAACCCCTGTACTGTGGGGATAAGACAAATATGCAGTATTCGTATTCGCTAATACATGTACCTGATAATTAAAAAGGCTTGTTATAATGCATATATTTAAATCTGCATTATTTTATCAAATTAATACTGTTACGTTTTCTGCCAAAATGTTTTTATTTTATGGTACTTCATATACTTCACTGTTTTATTAAGATACATTATCAAACAAATGTGTTACTTCTTCTAATTATTAATCCAGGGTCAGTTTTCACAAGGTTTGATGAATGGTAAGGGAAAATATACATGGTGTGATGGTGTCACTTACGAGGTAGGCTCACCTTATTGTACTTGATGGCACAGCGGCTATTGTATTGAGAGCATGCACATTCTTTGCCAGATTAAATACAGAACAAATAGACTAGAATTAGAAAAATATAGATTGCACACAACACTGGTCATCAGAAATGACATGGGCTTTATAATTAATGTTGCATTAAATTGTATGTTTATTATTAGTGTATTTGAACTATGATATATATTGCAGTGAATATGTTGTTATTCACTACGATGCAAAAGTAGGACTTAGATTCAGATTCATATATGAGTTTGAATAAATTACATTATTATACATCTCACATCAAAAACAATAACTAATCCATCGTAAATTACCATACAAACTTGTTCAGCAATTATTGAACAATACTTCAACAATACTGTTCAACAATACTTATTGAATGTCTTCGTTATTTTGAAAATGTACATTATGTTTGCATAACATTCAAACACTTTCCTTTATTTTCATCTGATGTAAAAATAATGTAGCATGTGACTAGATTCACATCACTAAATACAAACGATGACGTAGATACAAATACTTT